CACAGATGGCGGTGAGGTTGTCAGCCTTACGCGCCGGGCCCCCCTTACGCCGGGACGATTCCTGGTACTCATTTCTGTTAGAGGCTATGTCGACCCCATGGCCATACAGCAGCTGGAAGGATTAGGTAAATTGAAAAAATTCAACCTCATCGGGACGTGAACCCGCGACCTTCCGGCTTGTAGCATAGTGCCTCAACCAACTACGCTACCGCGTGCCCCAGACCTATTCTTTAGGTCCTTTAATCCAACGTCTCATAGTCCCAGCCATAGTGCGGCTGGAAGGTTTAGGTAGATTGAAAAAATTCAATGATATCATCGGGAATTGAACTCGCAAACTTCGGCTTGTAGCATAGTGCTTCAACCGACTACGCTACTGCGTGCCCCCTCCTTGTGTTAGGTATATTTAACAATGCCAAAATTATTTTAATTCACTGACACTGTCATGTGTAGAATATAAACACGTATAGGTGCCAACTTCAGGAAAGAAAGTGCTTCTGATTCTTAAACATTTGGTAGAGTTTGGAGTATTATCATTAAATTTGTTTTGAATCTCAATACATTGTTGCAAACAGTTACCTGTGGCCAGTATTAACCATTTTTCTTCCATCAGTATTGCTGACCAATTTGAGGCGTTTTATGAGTTGGACATAATTATGAAAATTGTTTCGCTGATTTCTCTATAAAAACCTATGTTAAAAGCTTGCACTGTGCTACATTTTTTTTGTAGAAATGCCAGTCCAGTTTGGTGTAGCCAAAATTTTGTGTTTCATACTGTGGGTAGTTCCCACACCGGCACTACAGCCCCAGTGGGCCTAGGCCTACCTCCACGAACTTCTCCGTTCACTTCGGTTTTTCTAGATCTTACACATTCGGTAGGACTCCTTGGGCGGGTGATCAGCCTCTACCTGTACATAAACACAAACTAAACATGCTGTGGGTAGTTTACACTGATTAATATCCGATTATGCTGTAGCCAGTGCCTGATTTTATGTATTCAGTACCCGAATTAAAGCAGAATACTCAATTATTTCCAGAATCACCCAGAATCATAGCACTGCAGATGAATTTGAACGGGAATGGTGGCAGAAGTTGTGATTTGCCGTTTGAAGCTGTTCTGCAGGAATATTTGCAATATCCCTACAAATAATTTTTTTTTTCTTCTTCCGTTCGGGGGTTACTGTTGTAAACGTGGTACCTCAAACAACCCACGATTAAGACCGCGAGAACGTGCTGGCCAAATACCACTGCTGATAATTCTGTCCCCGAAGACATCGCACAAAGTCTGCACAGACATACTCGTACGCGCAGTGAGAGCAGTAGCTGAGTCCTGTTGAAACCTGACACAGTCGTTCTCTTAACTCTAGAATGAATTGCCCGAAGATGACCTCGACACATCTTTCGCAATTGTTACGTTAAAGACACAGGTCCAACAATCCTTCTTGCACTTAAGAGCACACCAGACACCAACTTCGACTGGATGGAGGACTTCGTGGGATTCTGTGAGCTACAGTAGCGATTGTTTTGCGTATTTATGTATCCCTGCAAGTGAAACCATGCTTCATTAGAAAAGAATGCCAACTGCGGATCGATCTCACCTTCAGCTATTGGCTGTAGAAACCAACCGCAAAACTGAAACCTGCTAGTTTACTTGCGTGGCTGCAAGGCGTGGATTACTGTTGTTGTATAGGGTCTAAACTCTTGCTGTTCTTGCACTAGATTTTGACACTCTAGTTGCTTGGGCTTGACGTTTCAACGATTTTCTAGGTGTATGTTCAAGTCTGGCTCCTATGTCACCTAACTTTTCCTCAATAAGCACTAGGCGCTTATGTTTTTTTTTTTCGTGTCTATTAAGAGCCCGCTGATTAATAAGTTAGTTCACCAAACTGTGAATTGTCTGTCTGCTGGGAACTCTTCCATCGCAGATGTGCACCGGTCAACAAAGATACGAAACTTTCTGTATAATCCTGAAATTGTTATTTTGTGAAGTTTCCCATGAGCGTATCTAGCAAAACCATGATTAACTACTTAATGATTCAGTAACATACGCCAGTTTACATCAATAAAAGCAATTACGTTTCATATTCACTGCAAATAAATACTTCTTCACACATGTATCACCATCACAAATGTTCAACATATGTTTCGTAAGTTGGAGGGTAGAAAAGTCATATAATACTACCTAAGAATACTATTTACTTACCATAACAACAGTACCTTATTTGTACTTAGAATCTATCCAGTAAAAACTAGCATGGGCTATTCTTGAAGTTTTTAACTGTTTTTCTTCAGTTTCTCCCACTGGGCACCAGAGCAGTTTAGGCCAATCACTTTTCTCAATGCAGAATCTTAGTGTCTCATTTAATTCTTTGAAACATGTTCATTCCTAACTTAATTAAGCATTGCTGTTCATTTGCTTCAAAGACAAACCCATAATTCATAAATATATATACTGTAAAATTTATTTGGGCTCAAATCATATTGTTAAGTTTCTTACTTTTGCAAACACCTGCAGTTTCAAGAGCATCACCATCACTGTAAATATATGAATAACAACACAGCAACAAAATTGACTGGAATCCTTTACAAATCTGATCAAGTAACAAATTTAAAATCCTCGATATTAAGTATGATGGGGACTCAGCCACCATGAACCAGCCAATCAGAAATAAGAGTTAAAAAGAAAACTGTAATCCACTATGGAAAATAATAAATCCTTTTAGATGTTTATTAATTTGCTTCCAATTAATTCTTTATTAAATTGTTAATATACTTTCGTTGCAGATTTGTGTTTCAGTGCGGAGTACCACTGATCATACTTTATGTCATACTGACATCTTTCGTTCACTAGAATCTTAGGCAAACGATAAGTTCTATGGGAAATAAATAACATTCACTCACCAACCTGCTTCTGTCTGTGATAAATTCTCAGTTCAGCTCCATCTTACACTTATTTATATTTAGTCATGAAGAGACCAATAAAACAAAGAACAAGTGAGACTGGCCTTCTACTGGTTACAGAGTGTGTTGTTGTATTTGCTACTATTTGAAGCACTGGAGAAAGTTCTGGTCCTGCCTGTTACAATCATGTATCTTGTATTTCTCGTATTCAGTGCAGAGACTAGCAGACCAAATGAAATGATTCAGGTTTCTGGAATCATATCTCCTGTGCTGTTATGTGTTAATATAAAGATCATATGAGGATGTTTCTCTTTGTCATAGGTTAGATTACGTTCCTTTCAAGAAACACCGGTGTGATGCTGTAATTAACCCAAAACTTTCAAAATACTGAAGAATTTGTTATGCTAATATTCTCAATCTCAACATACCATGCTACAACATTTGCTAACGGATATATCTGGCATATATTCCGTTTGAGTTCCTAACAGGACAGGTAACATTCCGACTTTAAAAAAAATTGACAAAACCAAGATCATGAAACAACAATCCTGATTCTTTCATTGTCTGCCTTGCTCCTGCCACAAACAATCACTTCCTGGGCACTTAATTTCAAGCGATTTACCGGCCCACAAGTCTCGCTGAAAAGTAACCATAGCTTTTGAATTGGCTGTCATGTTGAAAAAGTAATCACCAATAACCCTGAAAAGAACTGGAGAGAATGGGTGGTACTCTGAAAAGTACACAGCACATGAAATAGCAGCAACCAATTTGGTTCATTTATGTGGGGACCCATTTCGATCATCAAAGGGCATATGAAAATGAAACTGTATGGTTTAAATTAAGGTTGATTTTCAGTTTCGAAGTCTGGCTACCACAATGTAGCAACTTGGTCGGCTTTAGGGTGGGGAGCAGGAAGCACAGAGGATGAATATACAGTTCCTGTTCATAATTAGAGTTTTGTTGATTTACTGCATGTGTCTCACAGGACCAAAGTTAGGGACATCATCCAACTGAACCATTCTGATGAGATGCTGTACTGATTCACACTTAAGACATCAAAAAACCTCAACGGTAAAATGTGACTCTTAACATGCAGTAGTATCTGCAAATTGAAAAGATAATATGATATGACCCAAACTCCGAAGTTCAAGTACTTACAACTGCCAATAAATTCTGTTGTACAATATAACATGAAATTATATGTGGAAATCTTTGAAACAGAAGCTACAGATGCTTGGCAGGAGAAAAAATGATCACTGCTCAAAGAACGCCAAAATCCAAGGTCAAAGAATGGTTGCATTCTGGAAGAATGTGTACCTCAAGAACCCAATATACTAGAATCTGGAGAACATTGTAGGGGTTTTGCAATGTCACAATTTTAATGCTTTTTATGAATATTATCTAAAGATACAGTATTTCAACACACCTATACCTGTCTGCATTAACAATGAAACAATTGTAACATACCTGAGTAAGGAGCATTATCCAAAAATTACTGGGGAATTATCCAAAACAATATTTCACAACACCATAATGCAACGTTGGATGATACTTGCTGACTGCCTTCCACAGTTTGAAATCAATATCACTATCAATATCAATATCAACTGGGTCCTCACTGACTTCGAAAATGATAGAAAACTTCCTCCCTTCACTGCACAATATAAATGAATACATACTTCACTGTATACTGAAAAGACACCACACAAACTCCAATTAAAAAAAAAAACCCAAACCTGACCAGCACAATTTCTTGAACCACCAGTATTTGTTGATTGTAGAAATCACCGCCGTGCCTCATGTTTCAGATCATCACAATTGCAAAGATACAAATCAGAAAAAAAAATACCCTCAAATCAATCATATTACCGCAATTTCCTCCCCCCCCCCATGTTCATCAGCAATTAGGGATACCCTGGCAGTAGTAAATCTTTAATAAGGGACAACGGTTTCATTTCCATGTGATACACGCTTTATTTGTACAAAAAAAAAGGAGCTTGCACTGAATGGACGATGTTTCATTTGAACAAATTTTATGTACAAGCAAAGTACTCTTATTTATATATACAGAATATTCCAATAATTTCCTTATACAACACAGATCGTATAATATTAATTACTTTAATTACTACTGACTTATTACATGAAAGAAAAGAAAAAAATCAAGCTTGACTTTATAGAAATCTTAGCTAGCTCAACTGAACTAACATAAAAAAAATACTGCAACCAAAACTTAAAATCACAGACTGCTGTTTCCAGCTTTGTACCTTTTACTGAAAAGTTTACTAAGTCCTTCTCTGCAGTCTTCTCTATCTCACATATTTTAAGCTTAAAGGACTCTACTTTTCCTTATGGCAGTCATGTTAAAAACTCCTGTATGTATGTATATATATATATTTGTAACCTATTAATATAAGTACATATCGCTTTTACCCTGTCAAACAGTCAGCCCTGCTTTTCTTTTATTACACATCACAGTGTTGAAGCATATATTATCACATGTCCAACCGCTTTCAATTACAGATTCAAACAGTCTCTCAATTGTACAAAAATCTGGGAGAAAATAAGTATATGGCAATGACATGCACTGCCACTTTTCGTTGAGTTAAACATCATGTACAGTAACACTTTGGTCCCTGATTTTATCATTCATTACCTTATGGGGCCGATTGGTGTGCGGCAGGAGTTACGGGAGACTGAGAAATTAATCATTCAGACATTTACAATGAGATCACAAGGGCTATACCAGTTTTGGCAGGGTTACGGCGGGAGATGAGAAAGGGCACGGGGTAGGTAATCGTCAAACGTGTACGGTGGGGTGATTGACGAAGATTAGGGCGTGGGGAATGTTAAATATTCGCTCAACTGGACACAAATGCCGCCAGCTGCTCGAACGGTTGCACTCCTCGAGGGTCCAGGAAAAACTCAATTGTTCTCATGGATTCCTTACAGCCCGATGTCGATGATGTAGTGTTGCTGCTGCTACTGCCACTGGAGCCGCTAGTACCGTCTGCGTTTGTCACCCTCTCCAATCCCAAATCTTCCGCGCCCTGGCCACTGTTTGATTCCTCGTACAAGACACATATAGACCCGTTCTCACCAATCCTGTACGACACTTCAGCTGGGTCGATCCACATAGTCAACTCCGATGGGAATAGGCTGTGCAAATACGATGCAGGGAGCCCGACAGCGGTACCAGCCTGGGCAATAACAGGATCCATCTTACCGTTAATTCGGATACAGCGATAGCCCGAACCTCGAGCTGGCTTCTCTGGGAACCAATGCTCCTGATACCGTAACCGTAGCACATCAGTTAACGAGCACTTGAACATTTCAAGCTGCGATTCAGTCAGTCCATTGTGATGCAGTCGTAGAAGATGCACCAAAAAGTTTGCGGCAGAATGAATTTCAAGACGCATATTTGTACTTCGAAAACAGATATTAAACGGAATTTGCTTCGGCAACACTCGTAATGTCAATCTGCATACATATTATGTACAATTGTTAGAAAATGTTCTCTTTATTCACAGCCACACTGTTTTTTCCCTGCTCTTTATCTCAGCTATTTTACCACACGTTACAGTAAACACCCACGAATCACTATAACTACACACAGCCTACTTTTACCAACGATAACTCCGATCTGTCTCCCGTTTGTGTTATGTGCTACCTTTGTTCAAGCGAAAACTTCCACGTCATAGCTGAACAAGGAACCAGCTACGTCATGCGCACACCAACCAATGGCAGGCTTGACACTCCCACTCGGCATCAATATCCCCTCCACCGCTAAGCTTCCCATATGATTATAGTAAACAAAGTCGGAGAACGAATGAAAACAACGTTGCCAACAAAACTTCAGAATCCATCTCCATTGAATATAAAAGTTGGAATGGTAACTATGTAGCAAATACAGTAACACTGGTTAAGGAAATGAATATATATAGTCATTAATTGGGGTAGGATACCGTAACCGGTATAGCCTATCGCAAAACATAACAGGTAAATTTTTCCATGTATCTAATTAAGCACCACACCATAAAAACATATGGGGGAGTAGAGGTATAGCTCCACTATTCTTGAGCTGGGCACTAAATAGAGGGAGTGGTGAGTTTCACGTCCTGTCCGCTTTAACCGCGGGGAAACTCCCTGGCACTCGCCAGACAGGAGGCTGGATGGGCCCCACGAGCAGTCTGGATAAAGATAACTCTTGCCTCTGCCATGACTCGAACCCCTGTTCCACCAGCCGTAGCGCGTCGCTGTAGCAACTTAACTATCATGGATCCCCAGAGATAATTCGAATTTGTTAAACTCTTCCTTAATAGCTCATATGACATTAAAAACCCATGGAAAAATCACTCAATCTATATGCTCCATTACCAGAATTGCAAGAAGTCGCATAACGACCATCGCGAGAGGGCTCGTGGACATCGCTGCTTTGACTGATGATGACCCGAACTGTATGAGATTTGACAACACTGTAAAATATGTTAAACATGGGTATGTAAGATCTAAGGCATTTAGGACAAACGCATGCACTAAAATCTTCTCTGGCTATCAATAGCATCGAAGTTGATTTTAATATGAGGATCGTTCCTGATAATAGCGGCAGTGGAAATTGCCGAAACGTTGGTTTTTAATAAAATGACAAAGATGAAGGTCTGCCAAAATTTAATGTAGGATGTAATTATTATTATTATTATTATTATTATTATGAAAGGTAATAGGCCAATATAAGGTCCTACACACGTTCACTAATGGCGTAGTATTTCACAGCGTTCCTGAAAACTACACCTTGAAGTACTTATTTTTTCATTGCTAGTGGGGTGGGACTAAGTCCCTTGTACTGCGGCCACTTCTGGCCTATTGTACCAGCCCCAGATGATAGGTGAGGGTGACTGTGGAGTAATTGGTGGAATGAATATTGGCAGGGGAAACCGAAGTATTCGGAGAAAACGTGCCCCAGCGCCACTTTGTCCACCACAAATCCAATTTGACCAGACCCGAGATCAAACCCGGGCCGCCGCGGTGGGAAGCCAGCGACTAACCGCCTGACCTATGGCGCGGCCTCTTGAAGTACTTGGTAACGAATGAATCAGTCGGACGTATTTATATCACGAAAATTCAAAACTTCCAGTTCATCAGTCACCATTAAGAGACCACACAAATTTGATCGTACGCCATGTCGTTATTTTCCTGTTCCCTAAGTTTCCAGTAAATTGTTTACACATGCCTATTACCGTAAATAAAATTCTAGACCATTTTTATTTGGTGCCATTTCTCTTCTCAGTGTCACAAGATGGCAGTGCCGCACAAACCCAAATATAAAACATGCGATAAACCTGAGTTATCAGCCTTTGAATGTTTACGTGCTAGTACAAGGTTTCAGTGTGTTTAGACATAACTCGCTGGTGATAACGGAAATGAAAGACAGCGGCGCTGAAAGTTGGCGTCAATGGCAACAATGAGGACAGGACAAGGTAGCACGGAAGGAGCGACTGCAAGTCGGCGTCACCCCATTCTTCATGCACTACAGCATCACAATGGCTCTCCCACAGGACGGTAGGGAAGGAACGTTGTCATGCGAACATACTTCAAATGAAACAGCACTATCAAAATGAGAACAGTCGGTATTGCGGTAGGGTTGAGAATTCTCTCTTCCCCACGTCGTCCAGTCGGGCTCCGGGACCCATCCTGCCTCCTATCGCATGGGTTCTGGGGGCTCTTTCCTCGGGGGTAAAGTGGCTGTGGCGTCAAAACTGACCACTCACCTCCAACTAGTGCCGAGATCAAGGAAATGTGGATCTATATATCCACTCTCCATACGTCTGCATGCCCTAGTGCTTAATTAGTTAAGCACAGGGTCAGGTTTACCTTCCTATCAAAATGAGAACAAAAACCATAAAAAACTATCACAGTGACTGCGCGGTCTAAGGTACCAAATGTCTTAGCCCGCTCAAACAATTGGATCGTGGGTTCGAATCCCACAATCCATGGATGTCTGCGTTTTTTCTGTGTTTGTGTTGTCGTGTGTAGGTAGAGGGCTGATCCCACTTCCAAGGAGTCCTACCAACCCTCTATAAGACTGATGTCATAATTAATTCTGAATGGGAACATGCCATAGAGCCTAATCTGTCTAGGCAGAAGAACTATGAAAAATATTCAGCTTAAATGCTGGCCCGTCTGAGACTTGGTTGGGGTATGGTACTTCCCCAAAACAAATCTAAGAGTTCATAAAACGTACTGGTATTGCAGAAAACACGAGGTACCACCATTTCCACATGGTGGCCATGCTAACTCTTCGCGTTCTGACAACAGAACTTTGTCAGTGGTACTCTCACATTACGAAGAGTTGTGTATCTCAGCTGTTGTACCGCAAAAGTTTTAAATTTGAAAGCTTTTCTGCACATTAAACAATAGCAATCGAAGTGTGGCAATATCTGTGAGACCTTGTTCAGCCCTGTGTTGACGTCTAAGCGGCCAGAGTGCTGATTCTTTGTTAAATAATATCTTGACGTTGGTGTTCGTACCAATCGTGAAATGTATATCAATTTTATGATGGTATGTCAGCAAATACATCTCGTTATGTGATCAATTACACTTTTCAATTCTAACGGGTATCAGACACATTAGTTTTCATACCGTTTGTATTTATTCCGTTGTGTGCCTGTGCAATTAGTAGTTCTAATCGTATTGCTTAAGTTAGCAGCAGCTCTTTATTATTTAAGTAGAAATCTATGTAAAAGTAAAAAACAGAAGTAGAGCTATCCCTGTAACAGGCTGTGGAGGCCCATAGGGTTGTGAGATGTTGAGGCTGCAACATTTTCTAGACAATCAGCTCACAGATGGTGTAATGTTGTCAGCCTTACGCGCCGGCAGTGCTTTACTTCCCAGGAAATTAATTAATTACTGGTACTCATTTCGGTTATAGGGTGAGTCGACCCCAGGGTCATAGTGCGGTTGGAAGGATTAGGTCAATGGGAAAAAATCCAATGATCTCACTGGGACTTGAACCCACGACCTTCCGTTTTGTAGCATAGCCCCTCAACCAACTACGCTACCGCTCTTCCTAAACTATTAATCTGTTGTACATTTCTAGCAACTCTAATCCACACCACAAAAAGTTAACATAATTCATGCCTGCATGCGTACATGCACATATACAGAATATTACAATAACACATCATTTTGTACGTCTTCAGATACCGAAATATACTTATCTACACGTATTTTTTTAATGTAATTGTAATTAATATATCTCCTATGTAATAAGACGGCAGTGGGGGTGGGGGAAAACGGAACAAAAGAACAACAAAATAAGAAATAACGGCAAGGAAAAGGACGCAACAGGGAACTGTTCCTAGTATAGTGACTCCTTAGGTCAAAGAGGATGTATATTGTTGGGCTTTATCGTTACATATTAAAAACAGGAAAGCAATGACAAATCACAATAACTTGCATAAACTGGGCTGAAAAATTATATGCAATAAAATCACTCTTTAACAACAGAAGTGCTGTCCTTCATTACTATTACGATTATCTTTACATAGCCAGATAAACAGCACGAACAAAATAATTACTTCAGAGTTCCATTTTAACTAGCGGCCATTTTAGTTTTGCTTTAGTTCTGCCATTTTTTAGATAACCAAATAAAAATCCCACAGTCACTCCCGTCCTCTACGGTGAATCCAAGGAGAAACAACAAAGCAATATGGCAACATCGTCACTCAGCAGAGGGGGAATAATCAAAGCACAATGGAGAGGGGAGATGGGAGAATGGAGAAGGGCACAAATATGGCTCACAGATGGCCAAGGATATGAACCACACTTCCAAAATACATCAATTTATTATTTCATATTTTAAAAGTAGGCTAAATTAAAGAGTAAGTTTATGACTAAAGATCCGGAATTCATATCTGTCAGCATCTTGAATGAAATGTGATCATGATACATGTCTATTGATGCATTAGACACACAGAAACAAATTCTTTGCAAACATCAGTAAGGTTTTGTTGTGTAGAAGAGACGAGACCTACATTTTTTACTTAAGTCCGTACTCCCCTTTAGGTTAAATTATTATTATTATTATTATTATTATTATTATTATTATTATTATTATATAAATTGCCTTGTTGCTCTATTCTGTGTTTCATTTCTTTTCTTTATTCGTGCTCCCCCTGTATTTGGCTTTGGGCTTCTTTCTTTCTTTTTTTCTTTCTTAATCTGCTCCTCTTGTATCTTTACGGTGTAGAGGTAAGAAAATTTTATTTTCCCTTAATCTAAGACAGTCGGTAGGACTCCTTGGACGGAGGATCGGCCCGTCGCAAGGGCTCTACCTAACACAAACACAAACACCCATGCCTTAAGTGGGATTCTAACCCACGATTCCAGAGTTCGAGCGAGCCAAGACAGTCCATGCCTCAGACCGCGCGGTCACTGTGATCCGCAGCTTTGGGCTATTAATACATGAAAATTCATAATAATTGAACTGAACTGAAAAAAACTACTTCTCTTCCTATCTGCTCTCTTAAAACATAAAAATTAAAATGCATATACTATAATTTTACCTGCTGTTTCGTATGAGTGTGGTACGTCGTCTTCCACATTATCTATCCATGGCTCTACTGCCGTTTGTTGGGCCTTGGCCGTTTTTTTCAGTTTCTTAATCTATACAGTC